TCGTCACTCAATTTATCATTTTTTTTTTTTTTGCGAACTTTTGTTAGTTACACAAGTACATAAATTTATCTTGTGTAAATATTTTTCTTGTTCATCCCTTACGTCCAATATAATGGTCCAAAAATTTATATCGACCAGTCACTTTCTAAATTACATAATTTTTTATTTAATAAGTAAATTTGTATGTTGTCATTTAAAAAATAAAGTTAAGACATAAAATATAAAAAATATTTTACACAGAATAAATGAATATTAAGAAATTGAGTGGCTAGTAATAAAATTATCACCCTGTAAAGTTTTTATATTTATGCTTACAATAATATAATCAAGAGATCTTAAATAACTTATCATATCACAACTTAATGTTCCATTAAAATCGTTTTCTACTAAACAACTATTTAAACGAGTATTGGTACAAATTGATGTATTTACTTCATCATTTAAAATCGCTACGTTTATATCCTTAAAAGATGTCCCGGTCGTTAAATTAAAATTGAACATCAGAATAAATGGCAATACAAGTACAAACATCATAGAACTACACTCAATTATCAATAAAGAATTAATATTTGAATCTATATATTTTATTTTTTTAATCGTATTTACTAAAATATTTAATTACATAATATCTCTTGAAAATATAAACCAATTCTTTTTTATTAATGCGTTAATTTTGTACCAAGAGAAATTGGAATGATTTTTTTCCAGCAAGGTTTTGTTTCGATTTGTATATCTCGGTAAGCTATTATTTTCATTCTAAATAAAACAATTATTTATTTCATTGTATTTAATAATAATATTAGGTTTCAAATTTATTATTAGAATTGAGATCAGTTGATCAATTTTTATTATTTAATAAAATTATGTAATCTTTTTTACAGTAATATTTTACTAAAATGTTTATGTCCTGACACACAATACTAGTATTAGTCAACTAAATTATAATATTGGATGAATATAGTGAACAATTATTAAAATTATAAATTTTTATATTACTTCATTAATGGGTTGTTCTTCACAAAGTTTTATAAAAGCGATTTCTAGCGAATCAGTATCATATTGGTCTAATAAACTTTTAGGTGAACA